GCCTCTTGCCACAGATGTAGTCAATCTGATTCCTGTGTGTTCCATCTGGTGAAGTCCACGTGTACAGCCTCCGTTTGTGTTGGAAACAACACAAACGGATAAAACGGATAAAAATGATATCTCATCATATTCACAGCTTCCATGGTTTAGGGTGGGACATCTTTGGTATGCCATTTTAGAAATTCTGTCTACCATAGTTGCTGTCTATACCTTTTGCTAGTTTATTTTCTACTTCTGTTGGCCACTCCTCAGAAGGAAGATGAGGCAATCTACTTTCGTAGTGATACTGCCTCGGAAACCCAAGGAGGGGTCGCTATGAGTCAGGTCTGACTTGATGGCACAATACAACAACAACAACATTGGGTCCCTTAAGAAGCCCCCAGCAGTTGGCTGCTAACCAAAAGGTAGGTGGCTTGAACCCACCAGCTGCTCCATGGGAGAAAGATGTGGCAGTTAGTTTCCATAAAGATTACAGCCTTGGAAATTCTATGGGGCAGTTCTACCCTGTCCTATGGGGCTGGAATCAATTTGATGGGAATCAAGTTTGGTTTGGGTTGGTTGGATCCCTTCAACTAGAAACTGGACACCTGTCAAATACTGACATTCAATCTGTGGGTTTTAGAGGACAGTGAGACAGTGCCAAGGCATCTTGATTACTTTTCATATTTGATAACATAAACTACACTAACTGTAAACATGCTCTGTTCATCATGATTCAAAGGCATAAGTATTCCCTCTGTATTTCTGACAACTGCATGTGAATGTAAAATTATCTCAATAAATATTTCAATTAAAAAATAGCAACAGTAGGACTTCTTATACAGGCAGTCCTCTGATTACAAATGAGTTCCATTTCTAAGTCTGTCTTTAAGTCAAATTTGTGTGTATTGAGACAGTTAGGTATGTATGGTTCGTATCAAAAGTCAGTCAAATGTTTGTCTTAGTATGTAGTATATAATGTATCTTTCTATGCATTGAAAACCTTAGAGAAACCCTTCCAGATACACTAAGCATCTTTAACATAATAATACAGTAATGATGATAATAATATTTTGATGCACATCACAAAGTAGCACCTGTTTGTTATTATGAACTACTGTATAAACCTCAAAATTTTAATATAATAGGCTTTATGGAGGTTGGTTTGTAACTACAGGTTGTATGTAAGTCAGATGTTCGTAACCCAGGAACTGCCTGTATTATGTGGGCTTAGTTTTATTCTCCTTTCTTGAATTGAAGGAAAATTGTTAATGAGATTCAAGCCACTGTGTTCATGATACCTGCACGGAGGACTTTCTTTTTCTGAATCCTTTGATTTGGAAGGCCCCAGTGTACTTTTGACAAAGATGAGGGTGATGTTCCAGTTGATCTGACTCCAGGTTGAGGTTCTCCACATTTTTCTGATGTTGAAACCATAGAACAGATTTCTTTTTGGTGCCTGCTTTGATTTAAATAAAAAACAAACAAAGGAAAAAAAAAGAAATTTTTTCATCAAGAGGGCAGAGTGATACCACAACAATCATACTGAATACTGCAAACTTAAAGAAGTGAGCCTTCCCCAGTTTTGGCTAAAATTTTTCAATGTCCCAGGCAGAAGCAATGATATGGGCCCAGCCCTGCGGTCAGCCAATATGGTTTCCCATCACAGATCTGTTCCTTTCTGGTGGTGTGACCTTGATGAAGTCACTGAATCCTCTCTAAACTTTTTCACTTTCCTCATCTATAAACTGCAGGAAAAATTACCTGTGTACATACTGCATGGAGCTGATGTGAGGAATAGCACCACAGAGAGCAGGCTGTAAAGCCAGAGAACTTTCAAGGAACTCATTTCTCTACTCAAAGGGTTGAAGAGCAAGCTCTTACAAAAGCTAGAAAGGAAATGCCCCTTTCAGCACCCACCTACCAGCACCTCATGGCAGCAAACTGCTCTAGAAAAGGCCTGGGGCCAGGAGGAACCCTGGAAATATCCAAGTATTTTCCCAACCATTTTCTCAACCTTCTTTGAAACTCTGAAAATAGCAACTAAAGAAAGGAGAGTTTGCAGAACCATCTCCTGCTATAACATGGTAAAAGCCTAATGCTGCAAGGGAGTATGGAGAAAAGCCACTGCAAGCCCTGTTTCCAGAAGGAAGGAGTAATGGGGGAGGAGGCACACACACCGCTGTACTGGAGGAAGTTTAGCTGGGGTTGCAGAAAACCTCCCTATTTCCTCAGGTCCATGCCTCCCTCCTTCATGCCTTCACCCCCAGCCACCCTATTACACTGTACCACCATGTACATCCATGCCAGTATCCCATGATCCTTTGTGTATCTGCATCCTCTGCCACACTGTACATTCCATGATGGAAAGAATCAGGCTTTCCATTCATCTGTGCATTCCAGGGGCCTAGCACAGTTCTCCTGACACATGATTTGTGCTCAATTAACATTTCAAACAAGAAGGAAAGGAGAGGGACTTAGGAGTCAAAGTATTTATTTATTTATTTATTTATTTTTACCTGGCAGAAAACCAGAAGGCAGTTTGGTGTAGCTAAAAGGGATGAGTCAGAATCAACTTGATGGCACACAACATTATGTTATAAGGTGGTATAATTGCCTGCCATAGGGTCAAGAATTGGACCATTGTGATCCATGGGTTTTTTACTGACTGTTTTCAGAAGTATAGCAACACGTAAGCCTCCACTGACAGAAAGATGGTGGCTGTACATGAGTTGTGTTGGTCAGGAATCGAACCTGGGTCTCCTGCATGGAAAGTGAAAACTCTACCACTGAACCACCACTTCCCTCTACAAGAAAATACAGAAGCATGATATACCTTATTGTGTGCCTTGCAGACTCATTTAATCCACCCAACAACTCTGTGACTACTGTTATTCCCATGTTATATATGAGAAACTGGGGCTCAAGGAGGTTAAATAACTTGCCCAAAATTACGTAACATGTAATGGCTGGGAGCATGAATTATAACACTTCTCTGCCTAACTCCAGAACCTGTCTTCCCCTGCCACAAAAAAGACACATAAAAAACCAAGAATGTATCCACTACTCAATCAGCAGACACAGAGTCAACTGACCAAGCCAAATTCCAAGCAATCGTTGGTCATTCTGTCTTGAGATTTTCAGTTTGATTAACCAAAGGAAAAAAGACAGGTAACACTCTGGCTGAAAGTACAGAGGGGGTAATTTAAACTCCAATGTAGACTGTTTACTTGATTCTTAGTTTATATGTTTGAATGAGGAGTCCCTGGGTGATGCAAATGGTTAACTCACTCAGCTACTAACTGAAAGGTTGGCTGGTTCAAGTCCACACAGAGACACCTTGGAAGAAAGTATGACAATCTACTTTCAAAAAGTCAGCTATTAAAAACCCTAAGGAGCACAGTTCTGTTCTGACACACATGAGATTGCCATGAGTCAGAATTGACTCCACAGCAACTGGTATACTGTTGTGGTTGTTGTTGGATGCCATCGAGTCAACTCCGACTCATAGTAACCTTATGAACAACAGAACAAAACATTGTCCAGTCCTATACTGTTGTACTGGTATGTTCAAATTCCCTAAGTTTAGAAGATATATCTGAGCTTTCCCAAACATACACTTTCAAAAATGCTGTTAACATTTCATTTTAAGATGGTTCATTATAACATTTATCTCTGTTTTCTGATTCCATGTCCATGCACTGCCCATAAAAAACCCCCTGCCATCAAGTCGATTCCAACTTATAGAAATCCTTTAGTGTAAGAGTAGAACTGCCTCATATGGCTTCCAAGGCTGTAAATCTTTACAGAAGCAGACTGCTTCATCTTCCTCCTACGAGCAACGAGTGGGTTAGAAACACAGACCTTTTTTTTTAATTTTTATTGTGATTTGGGTGAAAGTTTACTTTCCATACAGCAGTTCACACACACTTTGTCTCATGACATTGACTGCAATTTCCCACAGTACAACAACTCCCCTCCCACTTCCTCCCCATAGTTACCTCTTCCCTGTGGCCTTCCCTCCCATGCATTTCTGCCCCCTGAGCTGTCTCCCTGTGCATACCCAGCCCTTCTATTCTTCCATGATTGATCTCTCCAAGGAGTGTATCTACCTAATGTAAATGTTCAGCTTATCTGCCTCCCTTTTGTTTGGCTGGAAGCCACAGGAGTGGGTTCAATTCCAGACCTGAAGGGCAGCTAGGGGCCATAGTCTCAGTGGTTCATCAGACTCTATCAGACCAGCAAACCTGGTCCCTCTTTTTTTTTTTTTTTTAATGATTTTGAGTTTTGTTCCACATTGTTCTCCCATTCTGTCCAGCTGTCCAGGATCTCGTACATAGATCCCCCTCCTAGTGGTGGACAGTGATAGCTGGGCACCATCTAGTTCTGGTCTCAAAGTCATAAAGGCTGAGGATCACATGGTGTACCAGTTGCTTGGACTAATTGTTTCCATGTGTCTTTGGTTTTCTTCATTCTTCTTTGCTCTGGACAAGGAGAAACCCTTCATAGCATCTAGATGGCCACTTGCAAGCTTTTAAGATCCCAGAGAACCACCAACCTTTTGGTTAGAGCTAAATGTAGTAACTACTATGCCACCAGAGCTCATTAATTAAAGCTTAATTTGCTAATAAGAAGAGAGTAAATTCTGATGAACAATAAATCCTGATTAATTAATGTAGTTTAATTTTTTCCAATTTTTACCACTTTTAATTAAAAGACATTCTCCTAGTAAGGTATTTATATGAAGTTTTGATACTTGAATCAATGTTAAACCATTTTAATAAGATTTGATACATTTTTTCAAGTGTTGGGAACAGTTACAAATTTTGTTTAAAAACTACTTATTAGAAATAAATTAGCATATAGAATGAGAAAAGGAGCCCTAGGTGGTGCAAATGGTTAAGTGCTCAACTACTAGCCAAAAGGCTGGAGGTTCAAACCCACCAGAGACTCCTTAGAAGACAGGCCTGGCAATCTGCTTCCAAAGCCCTTTGACAGCCCTACGGAGCAGTTCTACTCAGCACACATCGAATTGCCAAGAGCCAAAACTGAGTGGAACAAAACTCAAAATCATAAAAAGACCAGGCTTATTGGTCTGATGAAGACTGGTGGAAACCCCAAGACTACGGCCCTTACCCTTTAAGCTAGGAACTGATCTTAACCCCTGTGACTCAACTGGCAGCCAAACAAACAAACAAAAAAGAGTCAAAATTGACTCTCTGGCAACTAACAACCACAACAGAGTGGGCGGGAAAAGACCTTAGGAATGATCTACCCAAACCCTACCATCACAACCACCATTTTAAAGATGAGGAAACTGAAACCCACAGAAATGGAAAGGTTTGGAGATAAGGGATTCACCAAGATTACACAGAATGAAGTCCACAGCTCAGTACTCCTGACACATAAATCAAATGTCCCTACTGTACCCAGCACTCCTGCTCTGCCCTGTCACTCTATAGGCTGTGGGGCCTGTCCACCCTGGGTGAAGACAAAATGAAATTGCTCTCGAGTATGCTTCAAGGATTTCATAACTCACATATAAAGGTGAATGTGTGGCCTCTTTGAGCCCATTATTATTAAAATATTCTCTGCTTAAAAAATTCTAACTTAATTATATCCTATGATTCTTTCTACTCAAAGAAATCTCACAAAGTGTCTCAGAGAGCTAGCAGAGGATCTGTGAGGACCCCCAGTGATGATGAGTACAGAGGCATATGGCATGCTCACTTATTGTCTCCTTCCTTTTCTCCGTTATACCACCAGTCCATGATCAAGGACTCAGAATAAAGGTCTTGCATCTTCTCCAGGTCATGTCTCCCCTGCTCCATTTCCTTAACTAAAAGAGTCAGATCTTCATTCTGCCAAAATGAAAATGAACCCATTAATAAGATTTCATAAAAGAGTTCAAATTTCAGTAATTTCTAACAGAAAGTCAACTGTATAAGGAAAAGAAAAATCTAAAGAATTCATGTAGTTCTTATATTATTACATCTTTAAAGAGCTTTGTTGATGTATAATCTGTATACAATGAATTGACCATTTGTAAAGTATACCATTAGAAAAGTTTTGACACTTCCCACCTGTGAAATAATCGTAACAATCAAGATAATGAACATATCCATCACCCCCAAAAGTTTCTTCACATTTCATTTTATATCTGCCCTCCATTCTACCCATAACTCCCACCAATTCCCAAGCAACCATTCTTCTGTTTTCCATTACTATATATCAGTTTGAATTTCCTAGAATTTTATATAAATGGAATCATACAATGCATACTATTTGTCTCGTTTCCTTCTCTCATATAATTATTTTGAGATTTATCCATGTTGTAAGGATCAATATTTCATTCAATTTATTGCTTAGTAGTACCCTATTGTATGTCTATAACAACAACAAAAACACACTGCCATCAAGTCGGATCCGACTCATAGCAACCCCTCCTTGGGTTTCCCAGGTGGTATCACTATGGAAGTAGATTGCCCAACTTTTCTTCTGGGGAGTGCCTGGTGGGTTTGAACCACCAGCCATCTAGTTAGCAGCCAATGCCTTAGGCACTAAGCCACCAGAGCTCCTTGTATAGCTATACCTAAGTTTATTTATTCATTCACTTGTTGATGGACATTTGGATTGTTTGCCAAAACCAAACCAAATCACTGCCATTGAGTCAGATGCGACTCACAGCGACCCCTCCTTGGGTTTTCGAGGCATTACCACTACAGAAGTAGATTGCCCAACCTTCCATCCGAGGAGTGGCTGGTGGGTTTGAACCACCAGCCTTCTGGTTAGCAGTCAAATGCCTTAGGCATTACAGGTTTGAGCTATTTTAAATAAAGCTATGAACATTTCTGTACAAGTCTTTATATGGACATTTGCTTTCATTTCTATGAGTAGAAAGATTGTATTGTAGGATTGGTGATGTTTAACTTTATAAGAAACTACCAAATTGTTTTTCAAAATAACTGTATGAGTTTATATTTTCACTAATAACAAATGAGCATTCCGGATCCTCCATATTATTGCAAACACTTGGTATGGTCAGTCTTTTAAATTTTAGCTAATCAAATAGGTGTGTGGGAATTCTTGGTGGTGCAAATGGTTTATACGCTTGGCTGCTAACCAAAAGGTTGATGGTTCAAGTCCACTCAGAAGTACCTCAGAAGAAAGACCCGTGATCTACTTCCAAAAACTCAACCACTGAAAACTCTACGGAGCACAGTTCTACATGGGAGCACTCTGAGTAGGAATTAACTCAACAGCAACTGGTTTTAACAGGTGTATAGTGGTATCTCATGGTTTTTAGATGGATTCTCCTAATGACTAAAAATGTTAAGGCTCTTTTCATATTTTTATTTGCCATATGCATATCTTTTTAGTGAAGTGTCTGTTCAAATATTTTCCCTGTTTTTTTATTATTTTTTTGAGATTATTGTTTTGAGAGATCTTTATATATTCTGAAAGCAAGTTCTTTCTTACACATACTCACTGCCGTCAAGTCAGATCCGACTCATAGCAACCCCTCCTTGGGTTTCTGAGGTGGTATCACTACGGAAGTAGATTGCCCAACTTTTCTTCCAAAGGGTGGCTGGTGGGTTTGAACCGCCAGCCTTCTGGTTAGCAGTCAAATGTCTTAGGCACTATGCCACCAGAGCTTCTTTATTACACATATGCTTTGAAAATATTTTCTCCCAGTCTACAACTTGTCTTTTCATTCTCTAAGCAATGTCTTTGAAGAGCAGAAGTTTTAAAATTTGATGAAGTCCAATTTATCGATTGTTTTTATGCATTGTGCTTTTGATATGTCAAACTTCTTTGCCTAACACAAATTCACAAAATGTTCCTCATATGCTCTTTTCTAGAAGGAGAAAACCTAGGTTTTATATTTAAGTCCAAGAACCATCTGAGTTAATTTTTTAATATGGTGTGAAGTATGGATAATAGTTTGTTGGCATATAGATCTCCAATTGTTCCAACATCATTTGTTGGGGAAAAAAAAATCATCCTTTCCTCACTGAATTGCATTTGCATCTGTTAAAAATCAATTGCCCATATATGTGTCTGTTTATTTCTATTTTCTCTATTCTGTTATGTTTATCTATATCTACCTTTAGTATATAGTGTCTTATTTATTATTATTATACAGTGAATTTATTATACCTTTATTATGATAGCTTTATAATAAGTCTTTAAATTAGATAATGTTAATTCTCCAACTTTTTTTTTTTTTTGGCTATTCTAAATCCTTGCATTTCAACAGAATGGAAATTTGTCATTTTTTACAAAAAAAATGCTGCTGGAATTTTCATTGGGATTGTGTCAAATGTAGAGATAAATTAGTAGAGAATGGAATCTATGGAATTGAACACACACCTGTAGCTTCCAGCCAAGCAGTAGACAGGCATACTAGTTGAGCATTTATCTGAGGTAGACACACTCTTTGGAGAGAACAAGCAAGAGAGAAAGAAGGGCTGCTCAGGCACAGGGAGACAGCTCAGGGGGTAGGAGCGCATGGAGGGATGGTCACAGGGAAGCAGTACCTATTGGGAGGAAGTGGGAGAGGAGATATTGCATTGTGCTAAATTGTGGTCAATGTCATGAGACAAAGTGTATGTGATCTGCTGTATGGAAAGTGTATGTGCTCTGTAAATTTTCACCCAAATCACAATAAAAATAAAAATTAAAATAAAAAAGAGAATGGAATCTAAACACTATTGATTCTGACTCATCAACAAAATATATTTCTCAGAATATTTTGTAATTTTCAGTGTAGAGGTCTTTAATATATTTTGACAGATTTATCCTTAAACTGGAGCTCTGTGGCATAGTGCCTAAGGCATTTGACTGCTAACCAGAAGGCTGGTGGTTCAAACCCACCAGCTACTCCTCAGAAGGAAGACTGGGCAGTCTACTTCTATAGAGATACTGCCTTGGAAACCCAAGGAGGGGTCACTATGAGTTGGAACTGAATTGATGGCAGTGAGTTTGGTTTGGTATCCTTAATTATTTCATATTTTTTGATGTTATTATAAATGATGTATTTTAATTTCCAAATATATAGAAACAAAATTCATTTTTGTATATTGATCTTGCACTCTAAAACTTGGCTTAATTCAATTAGTTCCAGTAGCTTTTTTTTTTTTAAATTGTGATTTGGGTGGAAGTTTACAGAGCAAATTGATTTTCCATTGAACACTTCATATACATTTTGTTTTGTGATATTCATTGCAATCCCCACAATGTAATAGCATTCGTCACACTTCCTCCCTTCATCTTTTTTCCTATCCCTTCCTGCCTGCTTAGCTTTATCCCTGGGCAAGCACCACCCTTGTAATCTCATATAGTTGATTTTTCTAAGGAGTATGTACCTCCCTGGTGTTATTGTTCATATTACAGGCCTGTCTATTATTTGGGTGAAAGTTGTCCCACAGGGGTGAGTTCAGTTCTGGGCTTGAAAGGTATCTAAGAGCCATAGTCTTGGGGTTTCCACCAGTCTCTATCAGACCAGTAAGCCTGGTCCTTTTTTATGATTTTGAGTTTTGTTCCTTATTTTTCTCCCACTCTATCCAGGACCTCTTATTTCTTTCAGAGCAGTAAGCACTGGTAGCTGACAACAATCTAGCTCTTCTGGTCTAAGGGTCATGGAGGCTGGCCTTCACCTGGTCCATTCATCCTTTACACTAATTGTTCCCTTGTGTCTTTGACTTTCTTCACTCTTCTTTGCTTCAGATGGAGAAAGACCAATAGTTGCACTTTAGAGAGTTGCTTGCAAGCTTTTAAGGGCCCAGTTGCTACACACCAAAGTAGGATGCAGAACATTGTCTTTGTGGACTATGTTATGCCAATTGACCTTGATGTTCCCTGAGACTATGGTTCTGACCTCCCAGACCCAGTGACTAATTCCGTCAAGATGTTTGGTTATGGCTAATAATTTTTCATAACTTTGCCTCCTGTATGTTCTAATATATTCTTGGATAATTTGCAGCATAAATAGAAATGTAGAAATATCCTCTGCAATATATATATATATATATACACACACACACACACACACACACATACACACACACATTTGACGTAGTTCCATTTGCCTTCCCATCCCTATTCAGCTTGAGTGTCTATTTATGTATCCACTCATAGATTATTGCTATTACTGTTATTCCAGAATTGTATATGTAATGGTATTTACCTTTGTTGCCTTTAACTCTTGTGCTCCTCCCAGTGTCTTCCTCTGCTTTGGTCATTTTGTGTTGATCTCCACTTTATTGTTTATTTCCTTTCCCTTCACCCAAGTTAATACATCTACCCTCTAATTAGTGATTTACCCTCCTTTACCCTACCATCCCTGGTAACCTTCAAAGAATGATTCTTTCTGTGTGCAAAACTTTTCTTGATTATTTACAACCATTGTGGAAAATGGTATGGGGCTTCCTTAAAAGCTGGAAATAGAAATACCATATGATCCAGCAGGAGCTCTGGTAGCATAGTGCCTAAGGCACTTGACTGCTAACCAGAAGGCTGGAGGTTCAAACCCACCAGTCACTCCTCGGAAGGAAGGTTGGACAATCTACTTCTGTAGTGATACTGCCTCAGAAACCCAAGGAGGGGTTGCTATGAGTCGGGTCTGACTCAAGGGCACATAACAACAACAACAACAACAACACATGATCCAGCAATCTCACTACTAGGTATATATCCTAGAGAAATAAGAGCTATGGCACAAATAGATAAATGCACACCCATATCCATCACAGTGTTATTCACAATAGAAAAATAATAGAAACAACCCCATCACTGGATGAATTGATAAATAAACTATAATGTGTACAAATAATGGAATAGTAGAAGCTCTGGTAGCATA